GAAAATTTAATCAGAGGATTTTCATTAATTTTAATATGTTCGCATTATTTTCTTATTATGAAATTACCTTAACAATATTTCAAAAACTTGAGGTTCGATATTCGCTTTCTTAAAAATAATCATCTTATTCGGTTCTCGTTTAACCCAAGCACCAGAAAGCGCAGTAGCAAAATATTGCGATTGCGCCACTAAAATTGCTGAATGAGCTGAAAAAGTGCGTAGAGCATTCTGGTTTTCACCAACAATGATCGATATGTCATAATAGTTCGAATTTTCATAAAATTTATCGAATCTATTTGAGTGTGAAGTTAATAACAAATCGGGTGTCATTTTTATTTGTCAAATTAATGATAATTTTAAACCGTTTTGTATGTTTGAAAATTTAAGCGATCAGCGTCAGGGCAATACCACAAAAAGCCGAAATTAGCTATCCCCATTTTTCAGCCCAAAATTGGGTACAAAAGAACATTTATAGAATGCTTCCCGAGGGTTACTTTGTTAATGGGTATGCAAAAAGGAGATGCACAACAGTGTTGTGCTTCTAAATAAAGCTAATAATGCTCACCGTGTTCGAATCCGTAAGTTAAGCAATTTCTGCAAGTGTTGCTGGGTATGAATTATTTTATTAAAACATAATATAATCAACTTTAAAAGATAATATTTTGGTATTACAGGATATAATAAATAAGGTTGTTCATTTAAAGGGTATCGGTATTTCATATAGTAATATACGGTATTAAAGTTAGTTTAATAAATTTACACCAATTATACATAATGAAAATAGAACTTATTATTGAAAGTAAAATTAAAGAAATAGTCATCAAAGAACTTTGTGAAAGATGCATGAAGTTTGAAGATTAAAATCAATAAATGTATTTCTAATACCTTCGAGGTATAGAAACTAGCAGCATAAAACAATTGATTTCTGTGATTCATTTCAAATGTCGGAAAAAAACATGTGCTAGAATAGATAATGACCTCACTGCGACAGAATGCAAATTGTTGTTAATTGATATAATACACTTTGGCTCTCTATAGTGTATCCAAAAAAAAATTATTAGTAAAAAATTTTCAAAGCCTATATCGAGAGTTTTTGAAACTTTCACTGTAACCAACCGTAACGGATTACAGGTATTTTACATATGCTTCTATGACCACTTGTAAAACCCCTAAAGATTACAGGTGGTTACAAATTAGGGTTTATTATATCAATTGGATTTTATTAAAGAAATTTTGGATATTTATTGTGAGTGTAATTAGTCTCCATTATAAAGAGCCTGAGTATATAAATCGAGCTTTTAACCACAGCTGACAAGTTAAATGGAACAACGAAATGTTTCGTAATAATTTTTTGATATATTGGGGAATACAGTATATTCAAGCAATTTTTTATTGCGGTTTTACCTTACTAATTTATAAGCATTACAGAAAAGATATCCACAAAGAATAATCAAACACATTCATTGTTCTTCCAAGCTATTTATAAAATTTATTTGTTTAATAAAAAAAAGAGATTGAATTTGGAAAGGCATTGTATTTTATCCGGTATGATGTTAAAACAGGAAATTTTACTGTAATTTATGAACAGATTAATAATCAAAACATGTCCCAATATCACTATGGTTAAATAATGCAAATTTTCAATCGTTCTTGCTAAGGTAAAAAAAAATGAAACAATACACAGAAAAATTTTACTTACATTATCCAAATGCAAACCCGAAAATATATTTCGAATTTAATGTATTTTACTGAGTTAAATTTCGAGGAAATACAAATGTTATCACAGCAATATCTGATATCTCGCGTCTTCGAACGAACTACTTGTCAAAATCTAAGACTAAAAATTATTGTGAAAAAAACGTAGTAAATAATCAATTGATTCTAGTAGGTTGAAGAAATTAGACGACACGCTTTTCGCGGGTCTTGCCGATTGTTACCAGTCAAATAAATTACGTTTCAAATATGAAAAAAGATAATCTTATAACAATAAATACCGATGCAAGTAATGTCTTCTCATATAATTACGGAATAGGATTTTCGGAGTTTTAGATTCGGAAATTTTATAATTTCCGATTGCCGATATGTCATGAGAAAACAAGTGACACAATCATTTCTAAACCTCATGACCTATTTATTATCCCTTGCTACATTCTTGGCATAAATTTAAAATTTCATATTTGCATATCAATACGTAAATCCACGCCTGAAAGGTCTCGAGTCATCGTGATGGTCACCCGCATAAACCATGAAACCTGCTACGGTTATTATTTTCTTTGCATTAATTTTTTGCTTATTTAGGAAATCAAAATATTCCGCTCCTGATTGATACTAGCGCTAAATGTAAATTTAAAAGCGCTTGCATCGAATGTACAACGAACAGGGAACCCATATGTGTGCGTTTCACAATACATGTAAATAGTTGCCGGACATTTGACATTCTAAAAATAGGCATGATTTTTCCCAATGATGCACTATGAAGAAAAAAGCCATTCAAGAAAACAAGAACGAACTATTTTACATTCTGTATGCTCATAGAATTGCCGTACATTAGGTGGGGGAGGTAGTTGGTTCCCGTATTGCGTCAAAAGAAAAGTATATTTGTGTAGGCATGTGGCTTCACAGGCTGCTGAATACACAGATCATGTTATTTTTATGGTTTCAGTTTTCGTCCCCCATTGTCCATTTTAACATTTGTCATTTGATTCAATAATGGGATTCCACAATGATCTTCTAGAGAAACTGCAATATGAGAGATGAAGGTTTCTTTTTTCGTTGATTAAAAAATGAAAAATGCATATAAATTTTTATGGATTGATTTTGTTTCATTCAAATAAATACAATATAAGATCATAGTGGCTACGTTAATTATATATGATAAATTTGCTACGCCTTTATTGTCTTGCACAAAGTTTCATTGTATTTCCGATTTGGAAATTGATGTTCAAGAAACCAACAGAAAGAAAAGTTTTTGATTTTTTTTTTTTGTTTAATGTTCCGTTTATTTACTGTATGTTAACGTACGTGCATGCTGAGCAACAGAGAAAAAGTCATCAGTCTAGGTTAACTAACAATTAATAATAGCAAAAAGGAAAGACTAAACATGAGTCAAGAATTTTTGGTATCACAAAAAAGCAAAAATCAGATGGGCCATCATTTTAAGGATCTACCTCCCTCTTCAGGGAATTCTTTTTTTCCTCAAATTAGATTAGCAGAAAAGACTAACGTGTCGGTGTATAGAAACGTAATCGGTATAAGCAAATGTCCGGAAATTTTCGGATTTTTGATTTCTATAGAGAGTGTGTTTGGATCTTAGAGTTGTTTCCAATGAAAAATTTTGAATTAATTATGGCTAAAAGATATTTTCCATACGCACAAATCGAAAGAAAAATGGATCATCTGATCACTTTCTCTCACCATTGATTCACAAAGTTTCACAATGAATTTAGTGTATCACATCAATCATATCAAATACATGCACCTGTACACAGTTTTATAGCTACGCCTAGCGTTCGGCACTATGCCATGTTCTAATAATAAATAATTGAAAATCACAAAACTACCGTACGTATTTTTTTAATTTGTTATTCTTTTTGTGTGTTACCCTTTCTCTTTATATATGCACATAATATATATATTTATGTTTAAGGGGCGCAAGTGTGCAAAGTATGTATCAAAAAATGGCTTAGTGAATCAAAGCTAAAGTATATATAAGTGGACAAAATTGAACAAACGAAGAAAAAAAACAACAATTTTTTTAACTGTAATATTGTCATTACTATCTATTACCTCCTAGTGTTACTACAATCACCTTATTAAAAAAACCTTAGCGCGAATAACAACTTTTTTATTTAAAGAACGAATAACCTGAATCCAACAACTCTAGAAATCTTGAATTCTTTAAAAACAACAACTTATTCTTTTCTAAACGAACACAGAAAATGGCATATTATTCACAATGGTATGAGCAAAGCGTCTCAAAATCTGCCACATGTAAAAATAAGAAGGGCAAAGCTGCGCAAGCACACATCATTTTCGACAAGAGTCAAACAGACCTGATGGCAGCACAAGTCACCGTTTCGTCAGTGCAAGACAAATTTGTCTATAATTTGGAATTTGTTAAACCAACAAGCAGCACAGCGACCGGTCTTTTTTCAACTGAATTCTCAACAAACAGCCACAAAACTTCATCATCATCGAATGCATACTACACTTTCCCACAACGACCAACCTCATCGCAATCAGAAGGACACACGCGAACAGGAAGCACCGTCTCGGATACTTACTCGACAACTTCGGCGACAAGTCAATTATCAGAGGACTCGCTTTGGGATGATTGGATTGTAAAATTCATTAGTAGCGACGAAAGACAACAAATTATTGACGAAGATTCATTAGAAGAATGGATTTTCGATACAACATCTTAAGGATTTTTTTTTATGAAAAAAAATACTCTATGCATCCAAATACACTCTAAAGACAATTTTTCACTAAGATTTCTTCTCTAGCATATGGCATCTTCATTATTCATCATCTGCATCTTCTTCTTCTTCATCATCATCATCATCAATCATCATATAGATGTGTATATTTTTTAGAATTATCTTTGTTATGTCACATTATATTCTAAATGTGTGTGTTTTTGTGTAAATAACTACAGCAAAAAAAATAAAATCTAATTTTGACTGGTTTCGAGAAGTTTCTCGATAATTGTATTAAGTTTATTGGGGAAAGTCAAAAACACGTGCAAACTTCTACAACAATATTAATAGCCAAAAAAGCAAAACGCCTTCTGTCTAGCCCGCCCGTACCAATGTATTTACATTCCACTCTAACAAAATCACACTATATTCATAAAAATGCATGCACCTATGCATTATGTCCGCAGTGTTTTGCATTATTGTTTATCGTCTACGTGTTCATTGTGCTCGTCGAACCAGTTCCGAGTAATAATAATAACGATAATTGAACGTCCGTATTATCATTCATAACAAGTTGGGATAGCTAGCTGAACAGGTTTGGAATCCTATGATGAGGTCAATATTGATTTTCACAAGTAGAAGAGCTCGCGCGAACGAATAAAAGTTCGGGAAATCGTGTAATCATCGATATGATTGTTGTAAAAAAAAATATTATATTTAATGTCATTGTACTAAATATTGTGTTTTTTTTAATGGTAAATGAGTGTTTAAGGAGTCGCAGATTTGTCTCATATTTTTCAAAAGGCGAGATTATCTTTTATTTCTTGAAATGGTTCAAACAAAGAATTTAGCGTAGAAGAGTTTAGAAAGTCATTCAACTTTTTCACGAGCTTCTCTCTGGGTACGAATAAAACTCATCGTTATGACGAAAAATTTTGATCTATGACGTGGATAAAATGGTTTTGAATGAAACGTGTTAACATTGCATTTTATTGACAGCGAATCAAGCAACGATTTTTGAACTTTTAAATGTACGTGCATGAATACAAACTCATTTTTTTCACCGATTTTTTTTTTTGAATGAAAACGGAAACAATAATTACCTGAGTATCGAATAGGATGCACTCTGGATGTGTATTCTTAGTGATGTAAAAACATGATCTTATCAAACACATTGTCAATAGAAAACAATACGGATGCGCGCATAATAGTGCATTTGCAGTACAGTCAATAAACAAAGTACATGTTTATGACTAACTATTGTTATTGTAAGAAAAAGGAATCTATTTCGGGGCTTCATATTGTAGCTGGAAAAAGAAAACTAAGAATCGTTTTTTTTTTTTTTTTTTTTTTGCTTCCTTCTTATGCTCGTATGATTGTATTGTCACTTGCTATAAGGTAATGTTATATCATACATGCATAACAGTTTTTGTTAAACCTTATTTCATTCATCAGCCACATTCCCAACTACGATCATATGATTCTTTTAGAAAAGATACCCAAAGTTCATCGCTTCACTTTTTGGATTCTGTTAAACGTTGAATGTATTGTCTTAGCGTTACCATTCTCGTCATTGTTAGATAAACTTTAAAATATCCATCTTAATCACATTTTCATTCTCAATAATTAATATAACGGGTAAATTGAAATTACTAATCATGCTATTTCCTTAATATATTAGCTATTAATAAGCATCATTTAATTGAGATAATATTGCTTTATACAACATTCGTCTTTGTTAAAAATTTCTCTGATATCTGTTAAAAAAGATTAGATTTTATCAGAGATACACAATAAAATAATATTCTTATCTCTAAATGCACAAACATCTCTAATAGAGAAATCCTAATTGTACAACCATCTCTAATAGCGAAATCATCTTTCGTATTGTATCGTCGTCTAGTAAAAACAACGATGACAATGTTTCTGAGACGCACGTCTTAATCAATTTGTCTACGATATATATTAAATGTGGTGGTCTTACAAAATTCATTTGCTCTTTGTCTTAGGGAGCTACTTTAAAAGAATGGTTTATTCAAGAGCAGAAAATTTAATGTTGTTAGTCACCCTATATGCGCAGTTATCTTCCTGATAATGAAGAATATAGCTTAGAATCATGTACTTAGCAAACAAAAACATTACCGTTACTGATTTATCAAGATGTTTGCGCATTGTGTAGTATCACTTTTGTACTTCGTATTACGTCACAATCAAAACATGATTAAAAATTTCATAGAAAACTAATAAGAAAAGAATAAAAGAATCAAACGAACTTATCGGAGAAATACACACGGAAAGCCTGAAAATAAAAAAATGTTTTCTGAGAACATTAATTTGTAATTTTAGGTTTAATGTTCGCAGCAATGCACCACCTTATTTTTATTGACTTGATCAATTTGTTGAATTTAAGCATGATAAACTTATAATTTAAAGACTACAAGTTTCCCATATGTGTTTCAAACTAAGATAAGTATTAGCGTTAGCTATATTTGACTGTCACAACGGTGATGTAAATAAATGATTGAAACACTCGTATAAACTGATTATTCCCATGTCTTGATTATATGCTATTGTGATGTGCTAATGTTGATAGATAAAATATTGTGGAAACTGATTAATTAATAATTTCATTTCATTTTTACTATTTATTTGTTGAGAAAGCACTATAACAAGGCATATCCAAAGTTCAAATTTAGTCTCAAAAGAATTTAAAATATTATATACATTTTCAACAGACACGATCTTAATCCAGTTCTACTGTCACGTTTTCGATCGGATTTGAAATCTTTTTAAATAAGATAAAATTTGTACTCATTCCGACACTGATCGTTTAACGTTAACAATTATCATAAATCAAAAATGACACCCGATTTGTTATTTACTTCACACTCAAATAGATTCGATAAATTTTATGAAAATTCGAACTATTATGACATTTCGATCATTGTTGGTGAAAACCAGAATTTTCAACGCACTTTTCCAGCTCACTCAGCAATTTTGGTGGCGCAGTCGCAATATTTTGCTACTGCGCTTTCTGATGCTTGGGTGAAACGAGAACCAAATAAGAGGATTATTTTTAAGAAACCGAATATTGAACCTCGAGTTTTTGAAATATTGTTAAAGTAATTTCATGATAAGGAATAATGCAATATTATTAAATAAAACTAATGGAAATTCTCTGAT